TGTTGAACTGTATGAACTTCACAATCTCACTGCACTTGAACTCTATCAGAATCGATTTTCTGGGATGATAAACACCGGGATAGGTCAACTCAGGAATCTAGAGAGGCTTCTCTTGTCAGCTAACTACTTTGAAGGCTATCTACCGCCTGAGATTGGAAGTTTGAAACAACTTGTCACATTCAATGTTTCCTCTAACCGTTTCAGTGGAAGCATTCCTCAAGATTTGGGAAACTGTGTTAGACTGCAGAGGCTTGATCTTAGCAGGAACCACTTCACTGGTATGCTTCCAAATGAAATTGGAAGCCTGGTGAACTTGGAGCTCTTAAAAGTTTCTGATAACGTCCTCTCAGGAGAAATACCAGGCTCTTTGGGGAATCTTATTCGGCTCACAGACCTGGAACTAGGTGGCAACCAATTTTCAGGAAGCATTTCTATTCATTTGGGAAGACTTGCGGCCCTTCAGATTGCTCTTAACCTGAGCCACAACAAACTTTCTGGGTCAATTCCTGATAGTCTTGGGAACTTACAAATGCTAGAGTCACTTTATCTCAATGACAATCAACTTATTGGTGAGATTCCAACATCAATTGGTGACCTTCTCAGTCTTGTAGTGTGCAATGTATCTAACAACAAGCTAGTAGGAACTGTTCCAGACACCACTACATTTAGAAAGATGGATTTCACGAACTTCGCTGGGAACAACGGTTTGTGCCGTGTCGGTACCAGTCATTGCCATCCATCAATAGCTTCCTCTCATGCTGCAAAACAAAGCTGGATCAGAAATGGTTCCTCGAGGGAAAAAATAGTGAGCATTATTTCCGGGGTTGTAGGACTAGTTTCTCTTATTTTCATAGTGTGGATATGTTTGGCTATGAGGCACCGTGGCCATGATGCTTTTGTCTCACTTGAAGGGCAAACTAACACTCATGTCTTGGATAACTACTACTTTCCTAAAGAAGGGTTTACATACCAGGATCTCTTGGAAGCCACTGGCAACTTTTCAGAAAATGCAGTTCTAGGAAGAGGAGCTTGTGGCACTGTGTACAAGGCTATTATGAGTGATGGTGAAGTGATTGCTGTTAAAAAGCTGAATTCGCGAGGAGAAGGAGCAAATAATGTTGACCGAAGCTTCCTTGCCGAGATTTCAACTCTTGGTAAGATCAGGCACAGGAACATTGTGAAGCTGTATGGATTTTGCTACCATGAGGATTCTAATCTTCTCCTATATGAATACATGGAAAATGGAAGCCTTGGTGAACAACTTCATTCAAGTGCAATCACTTGTGCACTGGATTGGAGTAGTCGATATAAAATTGCTCTTGGAGCAGCAGAAGGCTTATGCTATCTTCATTATGACTGCAAACCTCAAATTATTCACCGTGACATAAAGTCTAACAACATATTACTTGATGAGGTGTTTCAGGCTCACGTTGGAGACTTTGGCTTGGCAAAGTTGATTGATTTTTCTTTCTCAAAATCCATGTCTGCTGTGGCTGGTTCCTATGGCTACATTGCCCCAGGTGAGAAAATGTTCATTACATAGGTGCAGTAATTACAGCAGTTTTACCTGTCAAAGTAATTGAGTGACATTTTAATCTTTTGTTATGATTTACTTTACGATACTGGTTTTAGTCAGATGTGACAATGCTTTGGAGGGAAAAAAATTATTAAAATGCAGGCCACATAAAGACATGAAAATGTTTAATGCAAATTATTATGAGTTGATATTATGGTGAGCTAAACAGGTCATACTTTTACCAAATTTTGGCACAACAGATAAATTGTTGAGTCTTGGCTGTGTATGAAAAAGGGTTTGTTCTATTTTCATCAGCAGTAACACTCATTGTAATCCTTCTGTTTCATATGGTAGCTTAATTACTTTTTTCAGAATACGCTTACACGATGAAGGTGACTGAGAAGTGTGACATCTATAGCTTTGGGGTAGTTTTGCTTGAACTAGTTACTGGGAGGTCACCTGTTCAACCTTTGGAACAAGGTGGTGACCTAGTCACCTGTGTGAGAAGAGCAATTCAAGCATCAGTACCAACATCTGAATTATTTGACAAGAGATTGAATCTTAGTGCTCCAAAGACAGTTGAAGAAATGTCTCTTGTTCTCAAAATTGCCCTGTTTTGTACCAGCACGTCTCCACTTAATAGGCCTACTATGAGAGAGGTCATTGCAATGTTGATTGATGCCAGGGAATATGTCAGCAACTCACCAACCTCTCCTACATCAGAGTCTCCATTGGATGAGGATGATGCCATTTCTTCCAAAGGTTAGAAAACTTGAATGTTCATAATCATATTTGTTTCGGCTAATGCCTGAAAATATTATGGCTTGGGTTTACAAATAAAGGATCAATTCACCTAATGCATTTTGGAATCTGTATGTGGTAACCTATTCATGTTTATATTCAAAGGCATTGTTTTGAATTCAGTTTCCTCATAGACTGTTTCTCAGTTTTCTATGCTATTACTGTCCTGTTTGCAATGTGCTCTAATCTACCACTTCACATTTAACTATTTGTTGGGAATCCAAGTGTGAGTCTAAGTCTCACATTTAATAGAAATGAAAGAGTAGAGCATTATAGAAAATAAAGGTCAAAGACCTATTAATCCATTGTCTTAAGATTTTGGATAGAGAATGGTATCAATCCCTTATATGGTTCGGGCTCAGATCTCATTAGTGTTTGTATCTCCCCAGTGAACCTCTTTCTTGATAGACCCAACACTATTGAGTAATGAAGGTTAAATTATTTCATTGATAGATATCGTTCATCTAAGTTAATACTGCACGGTGTATACAGGCATAAACAAGAGTTCGCAAAGAAGAAAGCCAGTAACAGTCCTCCAAGTTATTACATTATTTTTCTCTGGTTCCATTTGCATACATTCTCAAAATATCTAGTTTATTCCAAAGTTGTTGTCTTGATCAATGTACTGATATTTTGGAAAACTAATTGGCTTGTTGTCATGGTTTGTGCAGATGATGGTGCTAAGTCGTAAGTTATAAACTCATTTATAGAGAGCATGTTTTTGGTACAGCTTCATTTCTACATGCTTGAGTCTCGGACAAAAAGGTTCCTTGGCTCAACTGAATAAGTAGCTTAACCTAAGATAATGTCACAATCAATTTGTTATACCTTCAGATGTATGACCATTCTATTAATATAACAAACCTCACTCTTCTCAATCAGGCATCCATTATTTGATGTATATGATAATGAGTTTGAACACAGATCGTCCAAAAGTAGGTTCATTCTGCTTATTGTTTATTGTTTTACACAATTTGGCTAAATGTAAGCTGTAAAGTTCTGATACGCCTTCTTATTTTCCCACGAGGCTTGTAATTGTAGAGATTCTAATTTGCAGCATTAAAGCTGTTTAATGTCACATGTATATTTCTTTGTAGAAAGTATGGGTTTTCTTATTTCAAGTTTCAAATGGACGTGGAAATTTGATGTCTATCTTACTCTCTTCATACAAGTTAAATTTAAAATCTGTGTATATTTATGAGGAAAAAGATAACTCCAAAACTTACTCGGGTTTTGAGGGTGGTAAAAGAAAAGATGAAAAATAAAACCAATGGTGCATCATTGTAATTATTGTCCACTTTATTTTGGATTATATGTGATAAGAGATGGAGATAAAATGACTTTAAAATCATCCTTCACCCCGGCTTATCACGAATCCATACTTGTATTTGAAAAAAAAATATAGGATGAAACTGAATTTGACTCAATTAATGTGACTTAAATAGATTTCAAACGGATTGAAGGTGAATTGATTGGTAACTCATCAATAATAATATTTTATTGTTTTTCCATCACTTTTTATTATTATAATTGTTTATTATTTTTTTGTTGGTAGATTAACAATTTAATCTTTTTAAATATTAAGAATGTTCAATAATATTGAATAATTTGTATTCTTAATTTATTTATTTGTCCAATTATATTAATTAACACTATGATTTTAAGCATATCATATTTGCTTATCATGATATATGAAAAAAACTATCATATTATATACTTTGCTTAATCGATTATTTCAACCAGAGATGTAATGTTCAATCTGTTTAAACTCATGATTCATTTACAAACAATGAATGCATATATCAAGTATCAAGCACAAACACAATAAGGATAAATCAATTGTTGTCTCAAGCACAAACACAATAAGAATAAATCAATTATGTCATTTGTTGTGAAAGAAATCATAAAGCATTTTTTTTTCATCATAAAAAACATAGGTATTTAGGATAGATATGGCTCCTCCTCAACACTAATAATAAGAGTTCTTTTAGGAAGGATATTTATTCTTATCTTTCATTTGAGGCGTTGGAGGAAGTTAATTAGCTTTTAGAAATGTTACCTTAGCAACTTAATTATATATTTATTTACAATATGAAGGTGTTTAAGTCCTTTATTTGTGACAAACTCCATCTAAAAACATGATAGTTTGTTAGAGCATAATAGTTTCCATGTCGACATCAAACTTCTTTCACCTCCAGTTAACCTGACAAATTCCAATGAGAGATTTGAAAGTTTTCAAAAAATTTAATACGGTTTTGATATATTAAATAGAAAAAATTATATTATGTAAGAACAAAAGAATTATAATATCAAAGTTAAAATTATATGTAAAATATAACTGTATCCCATATTTATACAAGCTTTAGCAATTATATCTTACAATCAAGATAATTTTTTGTTGTGTTAATTATGTATTAATAAATTAATCATATGATACATTTCTTACTATGAAAACTTTATTATTCTTAAACATCCATAGTCAAATATTTCTATAACCATATTGGCCTTAAACCGCCGTAGTCAAATGCTACTTATAAATCAAGATAATCATGTAAAGACTCAACTAGAATTTTTGTAGATTGATGCTTCCATCTAATAATCAATAGCTGAGAAAACTTTTTCACAAAGATACAAATTCATTTTTCATGTTCCTTAAAAGGTGACACAAGAAATCAACTTCATCTATCCACACATCACAAAAGAATAAAAGAAAATAAAAAATCTAAATCAATACAACTTTCAGATCCACCCCCTTTCCTTTTCCTTTTGACTGTTCTTTTGTTGAATATCTCTAGTTCCTCCTTTTCTACAACCTACTTGCCCCCTTGGTGCCAATCTACCCCTACTTCCAATGGAAACTCTAACTTTCTCCATCCCAACATTTACACCAACCTTCCTCATGTGCTGATGAAGTGGAGACTTCACTTGGATTTTCTTATGAAGGCTTCTTCTTAGTATGCTACCTATCCTCTTAGCGCCAATTCTAACTTCTTTGGGACTCTCACAATGAGTCTGTGCAGGAACACAGTTTGTTTCTACTTCCCCAATGACATCTTTCTGGTCAACTTGGTTTGTTAAATTTGGTAACAGTGGTGATTGGAACTGTGTTAAGCTAGGAATACTTGGGAGTGGAATCAGAGAGTTTCTCCTTGAAGCAATAGCTGAAGGAACACGTGGTGCCATCATGCAGATGGAAGAAGCTCTTCCAGGCCTCTTTGGCAGTAGGGCTTTTTCAGCCATGTCAGGATTGTTTTCTTTCTCAGCATGGTCAATGCACTTGATGGAGCTCTCCATCGTAGCAAAGGGCATAAAAGGTTTAATGAGGTTGCTTTCTGTGAGTGGTTTAGCAGAATTAATTTGTTGGTCTTTGCACCATCCACCACTCACTGAATCATTGAAATTCTTGAGACTTCCTAGAGGTCGACTTGCGAGTGCTGATCTCATAAGTGCATTATTTTGCTCTTCTTGATGTTTCATTTGGTGCTGCTCAGCTATCTTTGAGTCTACATGTTGACGTGCCAACTTTCTTTCAATCAGAAGCTGTGATTCCAGTTCCTTGACCTTTCACATGATACAATGATGAGATACTCACAAGTGAAGTAGAAGCCATATAAAGGAAGACTACGTATAAGCATAAATTTTTTAAATTTGCGCTTTGATATGATACCTTCTCTTGCAGATTTTTGTTTCTGATATCTCTTTCCTTCATCTTGGACTCTAATCCATGGATTGTTTCCTCCATCTTCTTGATTTGCATATCCTTCATCTTTATCTCTTGTTTAACTTTATCAGCCTAAAAAAGATGAGTAAAAAGAAAGATATCAATTAAGCAGTGAAATGTTAATACTTACTTTATGAATACAACAGCATTCCATCAACCATACAATTTGTTTGTGTCTCAAAAGCTCAACAGTGTCCAAATGCTTTCTTGCAGGGCCCAATTCTATTCCTCTTACTCTACTAGCAAAATTAAGAGAGCAAATTGTCTCACTTAAATCGTTTTCATTAGGACTGATCTGTACAAACATGAGTGCTTTTGAATCTCCTCCTACAAAAACAAAATTTTTCATCAAAATTTATAATATTTGTTTACATGCGGAGGACAGAAACTAGGCATGGAGATTCTATAAGATGTATAGATAAGTACCTAATGAGTCTTGCAACAAGTGTGTAAGCTTAGAGTTCCTGCATCATGAAGATCGTTAAAAACTTCAGTACCAACCAATAGAAACAAAATTTCAAAGCTGCAAGATGGGCCAATATTTGTATTTCCATGACCTGAATGGGATGTGTGAACTTTTCGTTGCAAGAGCTGATATGACATCACCAAGTGCAGACAGAGACCTGTTAATATTCTGTGTCTCCTTCAATCTATCACCATGAACTTCTGTCTTTGCCACTCGTTCACTGCCCGCTAGATCCACCAACCATAGCTTGCTTCTCGTGCATTCCCCATTCAACAAATTCTCTCCCTTAACCATAACACAGTGAATGCTGTATACAGAAAGAACATCTCACCATTAAGTAGTGTTTCTCTAACACCATAATATTTAAATAAGGATTAGGAATGTAATTAAAAAGAGCTGAAGCTGACCAGTGTGATCGACTGCTATGCTCATTGGAATTGGTTGAGCTTATTGCCCTTGCATTGCTTCCAGTTTGTAGGACTTCCCAGACTTCAGTCATATTATTCACACGTGCCTCAACCAACCCTGGAATGTGATGTATTCCTTCACTAGCTTGCCTTATTTCAAGTCTACAATTAACCATATTTTGGTGAACTACGCCAAAAACTATTCTGAAAAGCTTACAGAATACCCCAAACTAAGTTTCCCTTAATTTCCTTGTCGATGTTTTTGAAAGTACTATTAGGTTAAAAAGAGCAAGAAAATTAGGCAATTGGTTAGTAGTACCTTTTTGCAGCTGATCCTTGATGATTTCCTGCAACCAGCAAATCTCTTATTTGCTCATTGTACACTTCTAAGACACTTACTGAAATATCATAACAATAAAACTTCTGTCTCTCCTTGATTATGTCGAACATTTTTTCGAGAGTCCTAAAGTTTACACCTCGAGCCTCTTCACTGCCCTCCATTGTGAAAGTTTTTCCTGTTCCAGTCTGTCCATATGCAAAAATGCATACGTTGAATCCATCTAAAACTGATGTCGCAAACGGTGCTGTGTCTTCAAAAATATCAGCTATAATAAAAGAAAACAATACAAATGAGTCAAAATGAATCTCCAACAATACTAAAAATTCACGGCTTTAACCAAGAGTTACCTTGTTCAGCTTGGGGATCAAAGACAGCATCGAACTTGAAAGTCTTTTTAGGAGCTCCATTTGACATTACAGTTAGCTCACCATCTTTCGCAGATTCAAAATCTAAGGCCATGGTTGCTCCTGCGGCTATCTCTTCAGCATTGAGAGGCCTACAACGGCAAAAGACCCTTATGTTTCCTGTGAAGAAGAATAGTGAGTGAATCATTCTACATATTATTTTTATCCAACAAACTCTAGCAAAACAATATCTGCACAGCTTACCTCTCAACTCCAAAACCTTGTTGTAAAGCTCTTTCCGTTCCTTAACCCCTTCGGCATATTTGGACTTGAGATCTTCAAGGGACTCCAGTTGCTCATTTACTATAACATATAATTAGGAATTAGATCATGCACAAATGAAAAACCGCAAACTGTAGCGTGTACAAGATTGAAAGCCGTATTGCAGCAACATCTACTTACTTTTGGACCTGATAATATGCCCCATTTCTTTCATATCTGCTTGATAGTTTTTGCTTTCCTCAGCTTCTTCTAATAGCTTCATGTGTTCCATTTTCAAAATCTGTAGAATGAAATTGTTTAACGCATTTAAATATATCCTTAACCTTTTCAATTTGTTTGGTCACTCAATTTAGTTAGCATATCGGTACCTTCAATTTCCTTGTTAAATCTCTCAGTGACGAAAACCACCTACTTTTCTCTTTCACTTGTCCCTCAATGGCAAATGCTGCATAGCAAAATATTGGTTAATTACATCAACAAAACCTTATGCTTTTAGTTATATAATATATAACTACAGAAAGAGAGAAAGGGAAATACCCAAAGATCCTACGTGCATGGACTTGCGCATTAGCTCATTCTGAAGCTCTTTCAAGGAGTTCCAAGCTTCTTGACACTCTTTACTCTTCTGTTGATTCTCCTTCTTGACCTCTCCTAACTCCCTCCTTGTTTCTGCCAGCTCCTTTCTCTGACACTCAAAGTCTCTTTTCAGCCTTTTAAGTTTCTCTTCTACCCCAATATCATCAGCATCCTACAAAAACATCATTGTTTAGGGCACATTATCACTCTCATTTCTCTTGCTCAAAACAAAAATCGACCACTATTCACACAGAAGCATACTTCTGAGAACCCCAATTCTGCCTCCTCAGACACTCCATTATCTTCTGTCATCTCAGCATCTCCTGAGTTTGTAGCAAAATTTAGTTAAACAACAACCAGGAGTTTGAACTATAACCAGCAGCAGCGTAAAATGCCCAACCATGTTCAAATTTCAAAACATGTATTCACAATTAGAGATAAAAAGATTTGAACTTACTTGGAGGGGAATCATGGGGTGCCTCATCCTTGGTTAGAAGGGGTGGAAGAAGTTCAAAGGAGGCTTCAGGGCTCAGAAGCTCTTCCTCTTGCTCAAAAGTTTGACAGAGGTTGGAGAATTTAACAGTTGGCATCTTAGGGCCATTGTCAACTTCAACTTGAGACCCCTTGATTCCATACTCTAGAGAAAGCTCCACAGATGACTCCACATTCTTGTAATATTGGTTCTTCAAAAACTCAGGGGAATCACAACAGCTAATTCCAGCAATATCCGGTGAGCCACCACAAATAACCAAATCTGGGGATGCTAGAGAATACCCCAAAATAGATCTTCCTGTAACAATATTAGCCCATCACATTCTAACATAGTTTAACAATATTAGTCCTCAGGCAACACAAAATTTTAAAATTAAAGAAAAAACAAAACAAAAAGTGAAAAAAGCTTGAATTGTGCTAGAAAATTCCAAGCCCATTACCATCAAACACATCTTTCACAATTGGGTCATCGAACTTCATGCTGTTCCCTTCCAAACCTCCATTTTCCCGAGAAAATCCTGGAGCAGCAATTCCCAGCCCTCCTAAAATCACAAAAATAGGGTTCATCCAAGACCAGTAAAGATTCACCATTAGAACAAAAATATTTCATATTTTGATCTCAGTTCAGTGCCCTAACCGATACTGGCACTGTCACCACACACGGGCACATCCTCCATAGCCAAACTCCGAGAGCTCAGTGATGTTTGCGAAAGAGCTGTCACGTCAAAAAGAAGACAAAAAGTCACAAGCAAACCAAAAGGGTGAACGAGGAGATCATCAAATTCAAAACTTGGGAGTTGGAATCACTTTTTCGGTTGCTTCTACAAGAGAGAGAAAGGAAGAAAGAAAATGAATGAGAAAAGTTGAAGGGTACTTTCTTACAATTGGAACAGCGAGTATAAGAAGAGGATTCTTGTTGCAAAGAAACGTCGGTGAGAAGAAGTGGGTCATGGTCATAGCGACGCCATTGATTAGTATCCTCCATTGTTAGAATGACCAAACTGTTTGAACTTTGAATTCAGCAAGAATAATATAATTACGATAAAAATAAGTCGCAGAATAAATGAAAAGAAGGGTTATGATAACGATGATTGATGGTAAAAAAAGTGGAAGCTTTTTTCTGAAATAGAAAATTTTGATTTGGTTAGAAGGAAAGTGAGTGTGAAGATGGAACTTACCTTAACGAAAATTCGACCGTTGGGGTTTTAAATTTGAAATGGTGCAAGCGGGACAGAATTTACAGAAATCAGTTACAAAACGTGGATTTGGATTCTTGGTGGAGTTTCTGCTTTCTACTTTGGATAGTAACTTTGGATTCTTTGAAATACAGCAATGTTATTGGAACATGGGACTCGTTAAGTACTTTTTTTTTTTACTTTGGTGATGATGATGATAATTTGTTAATGTGTCTTTTCGTTGACATGAGTTGGAATGACTTATAGTAAAAAATAAATTATTTTCATCTCTATTCAAAACATTATTGAGTTTAAAATTAAATTTCGAATTAATAATTTAAGATAACTTGTGTTTAAATCAAATATTTATATTGATTTTTGTGTTTTCTGTTATTTTTTTATATCATTTTTTTATTCTTATGTATGTATCTATATTAACTTTTTAAAATAATAAGAAAGTAGAAAAATAATTATTGTAATTATAATTAGAATTCGTTTAAAATATAGGTTTTCATAGAATCAATTATTTCTTTAAGAAAAAGTTTTCTTAAAAAAATATGAATTTTGGCACTTATGTTAATCTTAAAAATAGTCAGTAAAGTTTTCTTATACCAAAATATTCTTCTTCTTTTTTTCTTTTTAAAGACACTAGTCCTTATTTTATTTTTTTGCTTTTTCAAAAGAAAGTTGTGAATTTTATTTTTCGTTTTGTTTTATAAATATCCAATTATCCAGCAGGAAATGTTTAGTTTAAATACAATTATATTTATTTAATTAAAAGAAAGATATGTTAAAGAATAAAAGTTTAGATCAGTGATAAGGATATAAAAATTAAGTTTCCATCAAAGAAAAATTAATTGTAAAGTCAATTTAGACAGAGAGAGAAATTCAAGAAGATTACTAGATATATTTCATCCTAAAAATTAAAGTCAACTTTTTTACTATTGAATATAATAAATTCATTTGAATACCTCAATCAACAAGTAATAAGAATAATATTTACTTAACTTAATTTAATTATTAATTTAAGTGGCTATTAAGTAAACAAAAAGTAATAAAGTGTCTATTTAAAAAAAATTAGAAGAGACATATAACATTAGTAGTTAACGTTTGGACAAAGAAGGAAAAATTTATTGTTGTCTCCAATTTGGTCTTTAGTCTCTTTCATCTTTTCCAAAAAAAAATTACTCTTATATAAAAAGGAGTCAACTTGAAGAACAAATCTCTAATTTTGGAGACTTGGCCTCTTCTTCCTTTTCTAGAGTACTTCAAGCACTCAAGGGTAGGCTGTTCTTCCTCTCCTCCCACCTTTCTCATCTTTCTAACACCATTATTCAAAAGGAGTTAAGAGAGAAACATCCAACAATTCATATTTTGATTGTGTTATCAAACAACAAAGTGTAAACAATGATCATACTTCGTCTATAAGACAAAAAGTTTTTGTTTATAAAAGATTATATAAGACATAATTGTTTGTATGACAAAATATATAAAACATTTTAGATTTTTTTTACATTTGATAAGTGTACCTATTTGTCCTAATCAAATACAGGAAAGAACATGACTCAATAATGTCCAAGTCATTATTAGTCTAAAGTGGCTAAATGATATTAACAAAGATATTTGTGGGTGTAATTATCGTGTATTAACTGAATATATGGTCAAATATCAGTAGTTTGATAGCGTAAGACCCAGAAAAAATAAAGTTATGGAAAGGTGTACTAAACGATAATTATGTTTAGTATTATAAGAAATTATATATGTAGTAGAAGTGAAGTGTAACATAAATATGGTTAGACTTCCTTGTTATGAGTCAAACATGATTGACAAACAATATCTGATATAATAGAAACATTTAAGTAAATGTTGAACTTAACACTAAAACTAAAGATTTAATATTCAAACAGTGTTGAGCCAATAAGAGTCTAACATAATGAATCGTCAAGGATATTAGTATAACGCGTTAAATGTTATATATGATATATGAATATATGATATCTCAACTGCATATAATGCATAAACTTAAAAAATGTTAAACGTTATAAAGCTTTTAACAAAGCGTCTAAATCACTATAGCATTTGAACAAAAAATGAAATATAGGGAAACATTAGAAAGAAAGGGGGGAAGGGTTATTTGAATAGTGTTTCAAATACTTTTGGTAAAAATAACGTTTAACAACTATTGTGAGTGTTAGATAAACTACAAAAGTAGTTGTTAGGCAGTTGTGTTTTTAAGTAAGCATTTAGGAAAATGTTTTGAACAGAAAAACAATAATACAAGTATTTTTATATTGGTTCACTCAATCTGAGCTACGTCTAGTTCTCCTTTAAAACCTGGGGTTACATTAATCTTATACAAGATTAGAAACGAGTATAAACTACTCTTGGTATACAAGTATTATCAACCACTTTAGTCAACCAAACTAGTCCGAGTCTAACCACTCCTGGTATCGACCCTAGACAACTGTCTAGAACATTTAACTCAACTAAGTTAAATAATACAAGTATTTTAATTCACTTCTGATTTTACAAACACAATCAGTGTTTGATCACAAATACATATTATAATAACTTTCAAAGAGAGGATAAATACAATACAACGAAATCTAATAACTTGAAAAGTTCTTTCTTGTTCTAAGAACATACTCAAACGATGTATGCTTTTAGAGAGAATAACAACTTAAAATTTCAATGATAGCAAAACTTCTTTTCTTCAGTGAGTCCTTCTTATATAGTTTTTTTCGAAAGATGACGGTTACTTAGAAAGAGTTAACTTTCTTGAAAATAAGTGACTTCTTGTACGAAGATTTGTACTTTTCTGCATCTTAGGAAGAGTAGCGTTGCTTTGGCAGTGAGAGCATATATTATTGTAAGATATAAAACTTAAAACATTCCAGGAATGTCTTTCTATTTCACATCTTCTTTCTAATTAATGTATAGTGTTTTTGAGTAAATCTTTAGAAAAATATTTGTAAAATCTTCTAGATTATTTTTTAATATATTGTTTTCTTATTTTTTTTAAAGATTAAATTGTTACAAACAGAGGTAAGGATAATATAATAGATATGAATGAAAATAATAAAAGTTATTCTCTTTTTGGTTTCTTTCGTAATTTTATCTAATCCAGTCATTAGTCCAGTCATTAGGGAATAAAACAAAATGCAGACAAAAAATTAACCAAAGTATTTACATTGTTGCACAACGTTGGATCATCTAAATATATTCCATCTAGGAGCAAAACACAGTAGAAATAGAAATTTTCAGATCAGTGTCACATGATGCATCTATTTTTTTTCTCCTTTTATCAAAAATATGATGATGCGTCCATTATATAGCATCATACAAAAAATGAAGAAAAAAACTGCAATTCTTCCCTTGTCTTATGTGGTTGTTACAAGTATTTTTGGGTCAAGGCGTTCAAACTTTTTCCCTTTACAAGGAGCTGAAACTGATATACTTTCTTATATACAATTTTACATCCAACAATGCAACAAATCATTTTGAACTCAGATCTTCAGCAGTGGCAACCTCAATATCAATATAATGAATGAGGAGGGAATTGTTACCTCTCTCCAATGTCACAACATCAATTGGAGAGAAATACAACGTATTTGAACCTGGAATGCATTTGGGCTGTGTCAAACACAGGATAGGAAACCAATCTGATAGTGGCATACATCAGTCATCATTCTACCGTGCAACTCCTACTCCCTCCACAGCAGCTGCCATTGATGCTGAGGCCTCTTCAAGGGTCCTCTTCTTCTCAACTGTGTTGAAGGCTTCAAGAATGTCACCCTCTTCCCAGTCATCAAAGTCTTCCAACCCAAGTCCACACTCAAGACCAGCATTTACCTGTTCACACAAGGGAGAGATAGAGATTCTGTATTCAGGAAGTAGCTACAGTAGCAAGGAGACAACACAGATATTCAACACAAAGAAACCACAGCTGAATTATACAATACACTGGCAAAATGTTGTTCAATCATTCTAAAAAGAAAGCATGAAAAAAGCTATTACACAGTAAAAAAGGGCAGCATCTGAATAAGCTTCACTCGGAACATGTAAAAATAGCGGTAACAAAACAGGTTACACAACCCAATGCAGGTTGTAGGCTATAGCGAATCAGACAAAAATTATCCAAATTCATTTGTGCCACAAATGAACTCCAAGCCTTCTGAAAGCCTGATTTTCCTGAGCTTTTCTGAAAACTAAGCCCGGATAAAGTCATGATCTGTCCAGGCTATAAAAAGTTTGCGTTTAATTTGAATTTAAAATTTAAAGCCCACCCTACATTTTATTGGGTAGATTCATGCAGTCCCGGATCAAGTACTAGAAAAACATAAAATTTATACCTGATTCACTATCCAGGTAAAACAGAATACAATATCATCTTTGTATAAGAAAGTTCCACCTTACTTGCCTAATGCAGGCAATTTCACTTGCAATAAAAAAATTTCATAGCCCTTCACATGTAAAACATAATTAAAATTCTACGATCCAAAGATTGCAATACAATTTTGATTTTGGATTTGGAGTCCCGTGGAGTCATACCACGTAATCAAACGAAGATATTCAAACTTAGTTGTATCATATCTTCTTAGAAAGTAAACGTTAAGGTTAGAAAGTACTTCCTTATATATTATAAGTTGGCTATATCTTTTGTCAATTTCCAACACAACCTCTCTTGTAGAGAACTAGATATGTCGACCACCAGACGAAATATTTTGTGGGTGGTCCAATAGCAGATGACAACATAAACCCAATAAACCTAACTAGAATAGTTAGTATCATCTTAGAATGTGAACATTAAACTTATCTCAATCTTACAAAACTAGCTTGAGAAGGTAATGTCTAGTTATATATTTAGTTAATGTGAAATTTCCAACATATCCTCATATTTTTCATATCTAATGAGCAACGAATTGACATTCATACCATAAAACAAAGTACTGTACATGAGAGACTCAATAATAATCATCATCAAAGCATCAGAGAGGAAAATTGGATAAATTACAAATTTCTCATTCAAGGTAACATACTCAGGTTAATGATAAAGTCTCAAAAGTTGCATGATGGGAATTCATTTAATGCATGTGAAGTACAAGATTCCCTTAAATAAGATTATTTTTACTCAGCAACATGATTGCAAATCCAACAATTGATAAATATGAAAAATACATGTTTTCAGACTTATTAATTAACTCAAAATTTATATTTATTCATGAAATAATGTGTTTTCCTCATTAAAAAGTTATAATTAGAAGTAGGAAAGTGTGTAGTAAATTGTACAGGAATTTATACATCAAAGTGGAGTGCTATCAGATGTTTCTCGCTAAGCCAGCATTAAATCGCTCAGCTAAATAGAGTTTTATTCGCTCAGCGCACCAGCACGACTCACTGAGCGAATAAAGGACAATTAAAGATATGCTGGAGTTGAATATTCGCTTAGAGCATAAAGAGTTGTGCGCTTAGCGAATTAGTTATTTTTTCAATTGGTTTTTAAAGTGGAAAATAGACGGAAAGAACTGCTGACAGAAGTTCCGGACAAAGGAAAGAAACGAAAACATCTCAGGAACTTTCAGAGACTACTTCAAGGCATCAAGACACCATTGTTACAAGGGATTGTTTCAAATGTGTACGTTCTAGATGACTAGGAGTAGTTAAATTTTTCTTTTATTGGAATTGGGTGTAATGAACTCACTCTGATATAATTTTCTTGTTCAATATATCGTTGTTCGTTCATATGCTCTTTCTTGAATTTACTATCATTGTATGGAAATATAATGTTATTTGAATGTTTCCGATTACTGGAAAGTAACTTTGAACATGGACATAGATAGAGCACCTAAGTGATTTGAGATCTAGGGATAGACTCAATAACTTGTCATTCTTAGCATCAGACTTAATGCAAATTGTATGTTAAATTGACTAAGGGATTAGCATTTTGATATATAAATTTATAACTAGTTGCTAAGGGATTAGGACTGGTATGCCTTGATGTGAATGTTTTAATGAAATAATGATATATTGTATAGAGTTTTATCTTCATATGATTCATGAAACTCAATTCCAATGAAGTTTCTTTTAAATATAAATTTCTTGCACACCAACTGTTTGATAAAATACCAAAAATAGTTTCTTGTGTTGTTTTGTGCATTTTGATGTCTAATTGAGTTATAAAAGGAAGAATTGTCATGTATTGCACAAGTCTCTTGGGAGACGATACTTTTACTTATTCACTGTATTACTTGGAAGGATTTGGTATACTTGCCAAAAAGTTAACAAGTTTTTGGCGCCGTCGCCGGAAATCGAACCCGGGTCACCCGTAGGCGGGAATTAATGATTAAAATATATTTTCATAACAAAAATAATTATATAAGCTACTCAATTTTGTTGGATTTACAATCAACCAGGTAAATTTAAAATAGTGCAGATGTTGACAAAGAAGTAGCAAATATAGCATTCTTTTGAAACCAACTCATTCCAAACGCTCCATTACACTAGCATTATCTCCCGGATATGCATATTTGATAGGTAAAGGTCTAGAGTCAATATACTAACAAATGTTTACACTTGAAAGGATTAATTTGAAAGAAAGAAGATTCTTATTTTTGTTAATTGATTTGAAACAGTACATCAACTCCTATATACAGAGAACTCAAATCCTAAAGTAATAATTACAAGAGATCTCTAGAATCTTCTAACAACCTCTAACAACTTCTAACAACTTCAAGTAATACATTTAATATCCTACCAACAACTTTTAGTATTGCATTTAATATCCAACTAATAACACTCCCCCTCAAAGAGGTGAATGGATATCTATCATTCCCAGCTACATGTGAGATCATGAAATCGCTAAGTGGGAAGACCTTTCATGAACAGGTTTGCTAATTGAAGTCCAGATGAGATGTAGGAAGTAGTGATAAGGCCACTATCTAGTTTCTATTTAATAAAGTGTCTATCTATCTCTATGTGTTTGGTCCTATCATGCTAAACTGGATTGTGAGCAATGCTAATAGCTGACTTATTATCACCATAAAGGATCATCAGTTCTTCACATGACTTTAAGATCAATTAGGATAATTCTCATCCATAAAATTTCACACACCCCTTGTGTTAGAGCTCAGAATTCAGCTTCTGCACTACACCTTACAACAACATTTTGTTTCATACTTCTCCAAGTCACCAAATTTCCACCCAAGAACATGCAATATCTTGAAGTGGATTTCCTATCTACGTTAGAGCCCAATAATCTGCATCAGTATACACTTCCATTTTTTATTTTTCATCCCCCTTAAACTGTAATCCCCTTTCTGGACTTGTCTTCAAATATTGAAGGATCTTGATTACGGCTTGTAAATGTCACTCCCTTGGATGATGCATTGTTGGAAGTCCCACATCGACTAGAGATAAGGTCAATTTAGAATATATAAGTGGGTGCAAACCTCACCTTAGAAGCCGGTTTTGTGGGGTTGAGTTAGGCTTAAAGTCCACTTCTTAACATGGTATCAAAGTCATGGCTAGAGTCTATCCTAACGATATTTGTTGTTTGTTGGGCATATTGTTCCACTCGTTATCGAGCCACTATCGGACCACCCATTAATATATATTCTCACGCTCAAAATGTATATACCTCGGCGTGAGGGGGTATTTGAAGTCCCACATCAACTAGAGATAAGGTCAATTTAGAATATATAAGTGGGGTGCAAACCTCACCTTAGAAGCCGGTTTTGTGGGGTTGAGTTAGGCTTAAAGTCCACTTCTTAACATGGTATTTGACACTACCCAATTTCCATTAATGCTTCTGGTTTTGTGGGGTTGAGTTAGGCTTAAAGTCCACTTCTTAACATGGTATTATCTAGGTCCATAGGACTATCAACTAGTCCATAGTCAATCATATTGTCTCTTTTTTGGATGATGCATTGTTGGAAGTCCCACATCGACTAGAGATAAGGTCAATTTAGAATATATAAGTGGGTGCAAACCTCACCTTAGAAGCCGGTTTTGTGGGGTTGAGTTAGGCTTAAAGTCCACTTCTTAACATGGTATCAAAGTCATGGCTAGAGTCTATCCTAACGATATTTGTTGTTTGTTGGGCATATTGTTCCACTCGTTATCGAGCCACTATCGGACCACCCATTAATATATATTCTCACGCTCAAAATGTATATACCTCGGCGTGAGGGGGTATTTGAAGTCCCACATCAACTAGAGATAAGGTCAATTTAGAATATATAAGTGGGTGCAAACCTCACCTTACAACAATCATATCATTAACATAGCTAAGAGTAGTGTAAGTTTACCTTCCGGGGGATGCTTGATGAACGAGGTATGGTCACCTTGACTCTGTCAATACCCCATGGAGATCATAGCCTAAGTGAGTTTACCAAACCAAGCACGAGGCAACTGCTTGAGTCCATACAAAGCTTTTTTCAACCTGCACACTTTATTCCCTCCTTCAATAGATCCAAAACCTGGAGGAATTTCCATGTATACTTCTTCCTCTAAATGTCCATGCATGATAACATTTTTCACATCAAATTGTTGAAATTTTCAACCAAAATAAGTTGTCAATGAAAGAATTATTCTAACCATATTCATCTTTGCCACTAGAGCAAATGTTTCCTCATAATCAACACCATAAGTCTGAGTATATTCTTTGGCAACTAACCTTGCTTTGTAACGGTCTAATGTGCCATCAGATTTATACTTTAGACTATAAACCCATTTGCAACCTACTGGCTTTTTATCTAGTGGCTTGTCAACAATTTCATCCTTCAATGCTTCTTGAACTTATGTAGGGACTTTAATTGCATCAATGACAGAGAAAAAACTCTAGTGCAGTCATGGTTAGAGAGCAAGTACTAGAAGGTGGCTTACTTATAGACTCCATAAGAGATTTTAGACGTTCAATATCAGCATGTAGTGCAGGCATTCCTTCCTCAGGTGAAGAGGAAGAAGGTGTTTTGCCAAGATTTTGAGAATTTGAAGATGCCTAATAAGCTTTCCTTGAGGGTTGTCCTTTTAATTTTGTTAGATGATTGAGAACTTTCTCCTTTCCATGTAGCTTGAAGCAAGTGTCCTTGGTGTGGCCAGATTTCTTACAATGAGAGCACCAACGCTCTTCCTTACCTTCTAAGCCAAGTTTCATATTTGCAAGATTTGAAGTCCCAGGTTTGGAAGTCTTTCCGGAGAACATGGCAGCTTCTTCAGTGTATGGCTTATTCATGATGACCATTTGACAAGCCTCCTCACCTCGGGCAATAAAGAAGACTTCAGAAAGAGAAGGAAGTCTTTCCTTCCCAAGAATTTGAGCCCTAATAGGTTCATATTCAAGATTCAATCCTAATAAGAACTTAAATATTTGAAACCGTTCAACAAACTAAGCAAGTGTGCTAGCATCTCTACTATTCTCAAGCTTCAAATTTTGATACTAGTCCAACTCAATCCTGATAAGAACAAATATCCTAGATTTTTCAGCAAACTGAGCAAACATCTATGCTATTATGAAGCTTCAAATTTTGATATTGGTCCAGCTAATCCAAAGACCCTACAGCATTCCATAATATTCTAAAACAGAGAGAGTTCCCTGTCTGGCAGCAAAGATCTTGCTTTCTAATTCATAACATTTAGGATGTCCTGTCGCATAAAATAAGTAGTTGCAATGTCCTCCCAAATTTCACTGGCACTAGAGTAGAATATATACTTTCTACTTATTTTTGCAGTCATGGATCCTATTAACCATGTAATGATTTGTGAGTCATCATTATCCCAAATCTGAAAATTAGGGTCATATGGGGAAATGGCCTTTCACTTCAATATGATTGAGTCTACCAATACCCTTTAACGTATGTCTCATAAATTGAGCCCATTGGAGATAATTCCGATCATTAAGGCAATTGTCATCAGGCAAGTGCGGAAGATCAACATTGCTTAGTGGAGTTGCCATGCCCAAAAGAAATAATTGGAATTCCTTAGCCCTCTCCTAAATGAAAATGAAAGGTAAGACAGAAACTCCAATGTTGCCAACAGAAATGGCACCGGTGACAGCAGCTGTAATGGGCAGCACGACAGCAGTTGTGATGGCAGAAGCGCAACAGTAGCAGTGGTGCAGCAGTGACAGCAACTGTGATGCAGTAGCAGCAACGGTAGCAGTGATGCAGCAGCAGTGATACAGCAGCTATAGCTCCGGCGAAAGCTCCAACAATGGCTCTGACAACAACTCCAATGGGTGGCAGCAGATGGGGGCAGCAGCAGTGAAAAAACCCCAACTTGGGGGCACTTCAGGCCACCCAATAATTAAAAGAAATGGCTGCACTTTAGGCAATGCTAGCGAAAACTGTAACTAAGACAGGAAAGAAGAAATGCAAAAGCAGGGCTCCCTAGATCTGATACCAACTTGAAAGGATTAATTTGAAAGAAAGAAGATTCTTATTTTTTTTTAATTGATTTCAAACAGTACATCAACTCCTATATAAAAGGAACTCAAACCCTAAAGTAATAATTATAAGAGAGATCTCTAGAATCTTCTAACAACCTCTAACAACTTCTAGTAAGACATTTGATATCCTACCAACAACTTTTAGATTGCATTTAATATCCAACTAACAACATTTACTTTTCATAAAACTAACATAGCTAATGCCCATTTGTCATAGCCAAATGCAACAAAAATGGACTGCCAATTCTTGGGTTTACAATTGATAAATTTATATAAATTAAGAAACATTTGTCCAACCGTTTTCATACTTATATTATGCATTTGTTGCAGTGTTATTCTTGTGTGGGAATTCTAAAACTGGGAATTAATACTGGAAGCAGAGCCATACCTCCTTAACAATTTCCTTCACTCGTCTCAAAGAATCAATAATACCAACATGAACTATTTTTCCCTTCCGCTTGACTCGAATACCACAATCTTTTAGCACCTTCCCCTCTGTAATCATGCATCCAGCAACACGACCACTACCACTGCTGAATACAGCTCGTACTACTGCTGAACCAATTGTTACTTGTTCCTATCAAAAGATAGCAATAAGTCTCAGCAAAATAGGCACTATAATATAAATCTCTAAGTACCCTTTAGAAACAGTATAAATCAAATTTATATGTCGGTAAGATATTTTTACAAGTTTGATTGTGTTTAAATGCCATGTAATAATCAATTTCCTGTGCACTCAAACATAAGTGTGCATATGTATAAACTACATAATCTACACTAACATTATAAATTTCAAGATATGTTGGTTTACCTCAACTGGTTCTAGAAGCCCTTCCATTGCATTTCGTACGTCATCAATTAATTCATAAATAACTCTGTATAATCTAATCTCAACTGCTTTGTTATCTGCATAGCTTTTCACAGAGCCTGATGCTTTCACATTAAATCCCACAATGATGGCCTTGCTTGCAACTGCAAGGTCCACATCACTAGTGCTTACATCACCTGTTGCTTCCAACAAAAACTTCAATGTAACATTGTCTTGTGGCAGCACCTGCAGAGCTTTTCTTACAGCTTCAATAGATCCCTAGCCATGACCAAGAACAATTACATTAATTGCATGTGAAGCAATAACCACAGTAATGATGACACACAAAACATATTGCAGTTTTAGCAATTTGATACAATACAGAAGATGCCACCATCATTGCATGTTTACCTATTGTGGACATTTGACTAGGCATACAACAGATTTGCACAGGCTAGGTTATTGATAGTAAACAGGATAGGTTATTCACACTTCCATACAGGCTACACTAAAATTTACATAATACACTCATGTTTAACACTCAAACAGGCAATGTTGTTTCTTGATAGATAATAAGCATGTCTGGGTAATTTCTATTAGCATACACACGTTTTCCTGCAAGAAAAATCAAAGCCCTCTTTGGATAGTTAAAGCAAAATCTGTAAGATACATGCTGCGTAAGTTATGCTTTTATTTCTGTTAGGTTTTTTGGTGACAAGAAACCCAGAATTCTCTGGTTTAGGATGCAGGACACACTCACAAACTCACAATGGGGAAAAACTGTATTACTATTCTGGAAACAGTGAATATGTTTGAAAACATCCAAGGGACCAACCTCCCTTCACACAGGAAGAAACAAATCATGTCCTCTATCAAAGATCAAAAACAACGTGTCTGTCTCAAGACACCTTCCCCCCTTATATAGCTAACCCTCCTAAGAGACACTACACAACCTAACAACCCCAACACCTTCAAACAGACTATGTTTTGTTTTTATTCCCATTTTCTCCTAACGTAGACCCTCATGGTCATATCAATTTCAATGATTCAATACAATATATAATCACTGCATGATAAATGATATCCCTGATAAAGTCATTAATAGGTTCAATTAGGCAAGCAGTTTCAAATTAAAAATCAACCAGAAAGTGTACAAATTCAAGCAACAATAGAAAAAAGAAGTGATCATACCTGAAGATCAACCTTCAAAATAATATTTAATTGATGCAAGTCAAGTCCAGACAGCTTTCCTGAGGAAACTGCTGAAGCTAAGGAAGAAAGGGTGACTTTGCCATCTCCTGCCTTTGCTGAAATGCGCTCGTTTCGCAATGACTCCGCACGAGCCTCAGCCCTTTCACGTGCAGCATCAAGGGATTCAACAACCTCGAATTCATCACCAGCAATAGGAACATTATTCAATCCAATAACCTGTATAAATCAGAAAATTTTGAATTAGGTAAAATTTTGGCATCCACAAAGAGCCTCACAATTCTTGTGGCTCTAGAAAAACCTGAAGGAGGTAACCACAAAATTCAAAATCTAAAGGTGCTATACTCTTTATTCTCCACCTTATGCTACTTAGGGCAAAATTGATGCCAACAAAATTATTTCGTCTTTATGATTCTTTATGAGGAAAGTGTCACAAATAGTGACACAAAGTAGTTAGGAAAAATTATTTTCATGTATCTCAACTTTTATGCATTTAGTGCTGATGGATATTAATTCGTAGGAAATTGAACCAGTTATTATAATCCAGAGGAATAATCTCCACAGAGTCTATCAGAGTCTATAAATGGAGCAGAAATTATGGACTACAACAGTATGAAACTGCTTCATTCTCTAAGCTCTCTCTTAATTCTACCCCTCCCACTGAATTCGACTGGAAAAATTTTCTTTAATCAGTATGCTTGTAATATGAAACATCAATAGTTGGAGAAATGAAATCTACAGAGATAGAATGAGATCAATCACTTTTTGTAGTAATTACTAATGCAACAGCTGTGCAACTCTACTTATTCTTCCCAGGCAAATCTAGAAAATGACAGATGATAGATGCATCTGTTGTACAAAAACACATTGCAAAATCTTCTAATTACAATCTTTTATAGGATTGCTTCACCCCACACCTTAACCAGACACAAAAGCAGCTCATCCATTCACATTGAAGAGACAAAACCATTATTGAGTACAAAGAACCTCAAATTTGTGTTCTCCATAGTATTTGGTTTGTTCTTGGTTGTAGAAATTTTTGCATTGTTCAGCAATCATACACGGATGTAAATGTAGATACAACAAATATAACAGACATTAATTATGTAATTTAAATTGCAATTGCAGAAATTTCATGTCAACAATGAACTCTCACCAATGAATAAAAGATAATAGAATCTGGATTAGAAGCTAGAAATAAAATTAATTTTATAAAATATTCGGGGTGTTTGAAAGATCATGTTCTCTCTCCTCTCTTGGAGTAAAATTCTTTTATTAAATGATAGAGTAGCTCCTCTAATCTCTCCTCTTATTTATTTATTTATAGACAACATGCCTCATTCCAACTATTTCAGTCCACTAACCTAGCTATCTAACTCACTAACCATCTAGTGGGTACCTAACAGAAGATGAGTGAACTTACTAGGAAACTCATATTTGATACATGCAGATAAAGTGATCCAGTCCGTGTCAAGGGAAACCACATTATTAATGTGAATCATGCAATCAAATGAGCCATAACACTGATATATAGAACACTAGTTGTCCAATTTAGCTTAGTGAGAAATGCAATCAAACCTGTACAGGTACAGAAGGTGTAGCTTCATCAACACGCTTTCCACCATCATCAAATAAAGCCCGCACCTGAAAGAAAGAAATAAAAGATATTAAATACAGAGGGAAGCAAAGTAGAACGGCAGAATTCCCTAACCAGGTGTTAAGGTCATCTAGCATTGAATTTTTAAGTTTAGCCATCTACCAACCTTTCCAAAAGCTTCTCCACAAACTACTATATCACCCCGTCTAAGAGAGCCATTCTGCACAATAAATGTAGCAAATGGTCCCTTTGATTTATCTAGCCCTGCTTCGATGACTGTTCCCTTTGCACTTCTATCCGGATTAGCTTTCAGCTCTTGCAACTAAACCATTAATGCTTAGATCAGAATGAATGCCAGAAAGATAAAAGAAAGCCCAAACAAGTGTAAATTTTAAACGAACAATGATGCACAGTCAATTAGTCAATATTCTTCAGTCCCACAAAAGCATAAAAAATTAATCAAGGCATTTCCAACATAGAGGAGACTTTAGAATGCTAGGACACAACATAATAGTATTTTTTTTCAAACCACATGCATATTATTAAATTAAATAATGTTAAACTCCATATATTGGAGAAAAAATAAAGATGTGCTGAATGTGTAAACTTACTCTCGTAGTGGATTTATTACCATATATTGATCACAACTCACAAGTATATGCCATAAACAAGATTTTCAATCAATACGCAATAATATAACATTAAAATTTATAAATTAATTAGGCAAAGAGATAGAATAGTTATAAAGTAGCCTAAGTTAGTCATGACACCAACAGTAAATATACCTCAGCAACAAGCATAACAGTTTCCAGGAGATCGTCTAGATTCTGCCCTTTAAGAGCACTTATCTGTTGACATAAAAGAACAAGAGAAAATATAACTTCTTTGAAGTCAAAGAATCATAAACAGGGTACGAAATGATAACAACAAATAAGAAATACAAACCGGAACCATCGGGGTGCTACCACCCCAGTCTTCTGGCATTAAACCAATTGAAGAAAGCTCCTGCATCACTCGTTCTGGATTTGCTCCATCTTTATCTATCTGTTTAAGAGAAATAAATAATAATTTGACAACAATCTCATAAGCCATCGTCATGTAAAGCATAAGAATTATAAATAAGATTGCACCCATCATGTTGACATGCCTTGTTTATTGCAATGATTATGGGTACTCCTGCTGCTTTGGCATGAGCAATAGCTTCATTTGTTTGAGGACGAATCCCATCATCAGCAGCCACAACAATAATAGCAATGTCTGTTACACTTGCTCCACGAGCTCTCATAGCTCCAAATGCCTACGGGAGCACATATGAGATATATATTTGTGTATATATATATATATATATATATATTTGTATGTATATATATATAAGTATGTATGTATATATATTATGGTTTGATTATATAATTAATCGATTTAAGATTTTTACGAATGCTTTAATGACAAATTATTAAAAAATAGAAAAATACACTACAGTATGTAATTAATAAACATATACT